CTGGTCTCGAACTCCTGACCTCAAGTGATCTGCCCACCTAGGCCTCCCAGAGTGCTGGGATTACAGGCGTGAGCTACCACGCCCGGCAGCAAAGTTATAATTCTGCTATTCCAATTAGACCAAATAACTATGAAGAAGTAAAAATGAAATGTTGAGTAATTTTGTTTTCAGTGAAAGGTGAGAGATTGAGCAGGAGGCTAGCATAGAAGGATGGAAGGAAAAACAATCAAGGAAAACCAGAAATACAAAATGTTCAAAGGGAGAACAAACAAGAAATATGGGCTATTGGCACAAAGAATCCTAGCATCCCCTCCCCTCCCCTCCCCCCTCCCTCCCCCCCCCCCCCTTCTTTTTTTTTTTTTTTTTTTTTTATTTTTTTATTTTGTTTTAAATGCTTTTTTTTTTTTTTTTTTTTTTTTTTTTTTTTTTTTTTTGAGACGGAATTTCAGTCTTGTTGCCCAGACTGGAGTGCAATGGCACGATCGATCTCGGCTCACCACAACCCCCACCTCCCAGATTCAAGCAATTCTCCTGCCTCAGCCTCCCAAGTACTTGGGATTACAGGCACGTACCACCACGCCCAGCTAATTTTGTCCTTTTAGTAGAGACAGGGTTTCTCCACATTGGTTAGGCTGGTCTCGAACTCCTGACCTCAGGTGATCCACCTGCCTTGGCCTCCGAAAGTGCTGGGATTACAGGTGTGAGCCACTGCACCCGGCTATGTACTGCATTTTCCTTATCCATTTTACGGTTGTTGGGCACTTTGGTTGATTACATGTCTTTGCAATTGTGAATAGTGCTTCAGTAAATATATGAGTGCAGGTGTCTTTTTGGTAGAATGATTTATCTTCCTTTGGGTATACACCCAGTAGTGGGATTGTTGGTGGAATGGTAATTCTAATTTTAGTTCTCTGAGAAATCGTTTGTTACTGCAGGATGACACAGCCACTGATACCCCCTCCCTACTCTGATGTACCTGGAACAGCCAGAGCCATTAGGAAGAAATCATTATAGGCAGAAAAAAATGATGAAAAAATCGAGACCTTCATTCCTGAAGACTGAGAAGGTATACAATGCAGAGTCCGATGGGAAAACCTAGAAAACTTCAAAAAGCCTGGAACACAGAACCTCAGTATTTCTGTTTCTTAGAAAAGAACTCTCCAGGAAATGACAGTCAACTTTTTTTTTTTTTTTTTTTTTTTTTTGAGACAGAGTTTCGCTCTTGTTACCCAGGCTGGAGTGCAATGGCGCGATCTCGGCTCACCGCAACCTCCGCCTCCCGGGTTCAGGCAATTCTCCTGCCTCAGCTGGGATTACAGGCACACGCCACCATGCCCAGCTAATTTTTTGTAGTTTTTAGTAGAGATGGTTTTTCACCATGTTGACCAGGATGGTCTCGATCTCTTGACCTCGTGATCCACCCGCCTCGGCCTCCCAAAGTGCTGGGATTACAGGCATGAGCCACCGCGCCCGGCCTGACAGTCAACTTTTTTAAGTCAGAAGAATGCAAAGGCATTCAGATGTAGTTCCATTGAACTTGTGGACATCTCACCTAAACTCTTCTCAGCAGCTCTCACCTGCCACAGGGTTATTTATCATGATTTAATTAAACAATCCTAGTAAGAGGTAGTGTTGTAGATAGGAAACCTGCTTACTCAGTTATCTAGCGCCTATTCGGTGGAATCTTATTCCGCCTCCAGATGAGAGATGACCCAGTAACTGAGTCCCTCCATGGACACCTTGTTATTTTACTTTGGGGCCATTAGTCGATGAGGTTAAAGGTTTCGCTTCTTCTACAAGTATCATGGGTTTCCGTATCTCCTAAAGTGACCAGGGAGCCTGGTGATGCATAGTGCTTTACAAGTTGAACTGGAGCACTGCTTACATTTTGGGAAAGCTACAGACAGCGCCTCGAGTAGGTTGCCAAGGTGATGATTGGTTGCAAACCGAATGAGACATCGAACCAGTTGAAACTGGAGGAAGACCTGCTTCTTTCCAGCCACAATACTTATGAAGGACGCCTCGTCTTTGATGTGATAAGATTAGATTAGATTTCTTTTGAAGGGATTAATCATGTAAGTCTTTGGCACAGCACAGAAAATTGGACGAGACGTGTGGCCCGTATTTCTTTAAGCTGTAATTTTTATCATGACCTTTAAAAAACATACTGCCTTAAAAAAGGAAAGACTGTGGAAGGGTGAGAGGAGGCAAGAGAGCTAAAATGAAAAAAAGGATGTGGTAGTACGAGCTGAGAAAAATAAACCCAAAAATTGTCCCTGACTTTGCTACTTAGCGCTCGTGGGACTGTGAGAAAGTGGGTTCCATCTTTCCGATGTTTTCACTTTGCTTGTAAAATAAGAAGTTCAATTTATCCTTTTATTGAGCTTCAGATGACTGGTATATGGAAGCACGGAGTTTAATGATAGGAGTCCTCTGGGTTCAGGATGGGACTTCGTCATTAAGAATAATGGTAAGACTTGATTTTATTAATGAATGAAAAGATTGCTTGATGTAAGTCAGAAGGAAGGTAAGATGAAAAGACGTGCTATATGATTATATACAGCTGTCAGTAATAAATTAACATTAGCTCTGGGTTCTTCACACTTTGCATCCTGAATATGCACCTAGAAATACTTCATAATTATAGTTCAGGTCTCGTGGACCATCATAAATTATCCATCTGTCATTCATTCTCTGCTAAAAGCCACAGACCTACGTTTTTCCAACAGCACATTGACATCTAAAATCCCTGGTGCTATGAGGCATACATATTAATTTATTTCTTATTGGGGCCCAAGTAAACTGGAAGGATAAAGGTACATCATGACCAACCACGACAACGAAGAGGAGGAGAAAAGGCAGCGGACGTCATTGTGAAAGTCAGGGTTGGCTCTGGTTAACTAACACTGGTCTTTGCTTAATTTGCAGCTCAGTTGTTTTGGGTCTGAGATGCTAATTTATTTAGAAAAGGCCCACCGAGGAACTCAGACACAGTGAACATAGCAGCCCTGCAGTCAATGCTGTGATGGAATTCTCCCCAGAGTTCCCCTAGCCCTGGGACCCTGTCTTAGACTCAGGACCTTGGTATAAGGACAAGAGTCAATAATGGTGACATCTAGTGGCCCACGTGCAACGTGCAGCCAAGCCACAGGGCACACCAGTGGAAAGTGGGGCCTGTGCCTGGTCCAAGCCGACTTAGGCCTGACCCCGAGCTCCTGAATCAGCCTGAGAGTTTGGTGTCTGGCAGAGATTCCCCACATTCATGTTGATTTGCGATTGGGATCCAGGAAACGCAGCAGCAGGCTGGGAGTGGAGGTGGAGGGGGGCTGCTTTTGAGGCCGACAGGAGGCTCCTCTCAGTCTAGTCTGCATATGCCACAGACTGGTGCTGCAGGAAAGTGTGGCTCGGCGGAGCTCGCGGTGGAGCAGGGAGCTTGCCTCCGCCAGACTGTCTTTCTGCCTCAACGCAGACTGGTTATTGGAACGCTCAAGCAATTTTCAGTCGTCGTTGTCAATAAAGTCAGTCTCTTCTCTGCAAGGGGAATGAAAATGAGATTTTGAGGCCTCCAAAGAGCCCTCTGCTTTGGCCATTTTTCTCTACCCAGGAGCCAGGGAGTGGCTCCGCCGAGCTGGGTGGGGGCTATCTGCTCTGTCCCAAACCCCTGTTGACAGGTAATACCTGTCAAGAAGGCAATGCGATTGTAATAGGATACTGCTGAATTCTTCCTAGAGAAGCCGTTTCCTGAAAGCAGTGGCCTTTTTGGATGAGTGGAGCAGAGGAAGAAAATGAAAAGAAGAAGGAGGTGAAGATGAAGAAAGACATTAAAAGGAAAAAGTAACTGCTAATCAAACCAAGAGAGCCCAGCGAAGGGGTAATCCTGCAACTTAAAAATATGTCATTTGTT